AAATGAAAATAAATAATACCAGAGATATAAAAAATAAAAAAAAATCTATGTAAAACCATTGAATTACCATTACTGACATTGCTACAATCTCAGAATTGTAATTATTATTTACTGATACGTCTAATAAAAGATTCAATATGATGAGAACTAACTAAAAGGCTTGTTTATCAAAAATAACGCCCATTAAAAGGCGTGACTAACCAAAATAACGCCCCTAAAGGTGGGTCTAACAGAAGTGACGCCCACTGTAGGCGTGACTAACTAAAGCAGCGCCCCTAAAAGTGGATCTAACAGAAGTAACGCCCACTGTAGGCGTGACTAACCAAAGTAACGCCCCTAAAAGTGGGTCTAACAGAAGTAACGCCCACTGTAGGCGTGACTAACCAAAGCGACGCCCTCTAAAGTTGGGTTTAAGAGAAGTAACGCCCACTGAAGGCGTGACTAACCAAAGAAATGCCCCTAAAAGTGGATCTAATAATCACCAACTAAAAGGCGTGTCAAACAAAAGTAACGCCCACTCAATAGTGTGAATTTTCATTTTATTATACTAAATCTAAATTATTTCATAGAAAAATTAATTATCGATCAATATAAAAAACTAATATATACAGTGAACGAATAAATATTGTATATTTATCTATATAAAATAAAAATAAATCGAATTCATTGGAACGTAATCATAAAATACAAAACAAAAAAAGAAGAAAACTGAAAAATGGACAATTTAAGAATGTATCTCTTTTGTTTGGTAAAAAGCAGAACTTATCGCAGTTCTATTTGAGAGGGAAAAAAAGGTGAAGGGAAATGCGAAATACCAATAAGCGGAAAAATAACTATTATAAAATAGAGAGAAAGAGACAACTAATAAAATAGAATGGGAGGGACTGAAAACACCAAAGAGAAAGATATCTATAGAGGTGGCGAGAAATTTAAATTGAGACAGTCGTCGTCGTCGTCGCGGATATTTGCGACAGTCTTCAACGAATTTCAAGGAGCTGGAAAACGAGAAGGCATAAGATATAAGAAGAGAAAGAGAGAAAGAAGCAAAGGAAGAAAAAGAGAGAATGATAAAGCAAGTAAAAAATAAGGTAGAACGTCACTTCGGATCAAGTTTTACAGTCTGAAGTGTAGTCTCTCAACTGAAGCACACACGTATACTCCATGATGAGTTCGCACAGACGGACAAAACTCAGTGACAGTTGTCACACTTCGAAACACTCCATTCAACCTTAATATATTTTCACACAAAATTCCACAATATATTTTCTGCTTTAGAGTTTGCTTTTAAAAATAATTTTTTTAATTCTAACATAATTTTTTTAATTTAAAAACTTTTTATTTTATTATTTACTTGATTCTTTTTTAGAATATATTCTTATATTTTAATAATATTTTATTCAGGTATTTAAATTTTAAATATTTAATTAAGATTTAAGCGATTTTTTCAGAGTGTCAATTGTAACTAAAACATTCATTTAGTTCGTTAAATTTTTTATTTACTTCAGTGCCTTGTCAAATAGTCACTAAGTGATGTGCTTTGTATCGTTAAATATTTAAACAGTAATCTAAAATTGTTTTACCGTCTATAAATATTAGATAGAAATAAAATTATCTTATTAGCAAAAGGAAATAATAAAAGATTCTCTTAAATTGAATTATCCAATGATAATTTAAAACTTAAAATTAATATCACACTGTGGTAGAAATATAATTTGCAAAAATATAATAACTTAAAATATTAAAAGATATAAAGACTTTTAAATTCTTCGATTTTTCATATATTTTTACTCAACGTTTTAAAATTAAACTCTAAAGTGAAATTTTTCATTCTCAGTTAATTAGCTTTTCAACTGAAATCTTCTCGTTATTTGTCGATTCCTGTCTTAAAAGCAGAATTGCCTTTTGTGTGTATATATGTGTGTGAGTGTGTGTGTGAGGGAGAGAGTTCCGGAGTGCGGATTTACTGTTTCTCGCTACAGGGAAGGTTAGCCAGCAGAGTAAAATGTAGCATAATACGGAAGCTTCTTGGATTATGGAACGAATGACTATCTGGCTGGTTGCCGGGGATGCTTTGGATACCCGCCGTGTTGGCTAACCTACAGAAAGTTGCGATAACTCGTATGAATGTATCACTTGAAGAAGCAAAATTTATAAGCCTCCAAAAACAAGCTTTAAACGTCGGTGATTTATCAATAAAGATCATAATATATTCTAGCCACAGATTTTTTAAACTATTCAACATTTTACACTTTCTCTTTTTTTAAAAAAAAATTTTGAATTACAGTTTAATTATGATACTAAAAACAAATTTTAAACTGTAAATCTTTCAAAATAGAAATAAAAATAATTTATTACAATTAGTCTTATTTAAAATTTATTTTTAGTATAAGTATTATAATAGAAGTGTTAACTTTTGAAATAGGTGGAGAAAATTAAAAAATATGTATAAAGTGCATGAAAAGTAGGCGTGATAAATGTGGGCGTTTCTAAGTAAATAGGCGTGGCTATATAACTCCCACCTGAAGGCGTGTCTAACAAAAGGAACGCCTACTTAGTAGTTGAATGAACAATTTTTTTATAGGTGTAACTAACGATGAAATGGGCGGAGAAATTGTAAAAGATGTAGAAATTGCATGAAAAGAGGGTGTGGTAAATATGGGCGTTTCTAAGTAAATAGGCGTGGCTTTTCAAATTAATGACAAGAGAGTTGATAATCAAAATCTTAAACTTAAAGGCGTACATAATGATAACACCCCTAGAGGTGTGTTTAACAAAAGTAACGCCCACTTTGTATTTAAATGAAGTATTTTATAGGCGTATCTAAAAGAATAACACCTACTTAAAGGCGTGTGTAACAAAACGCACAATTAATAGTGTAACTAAAAAAGGCATATTCTCACTAAAAAGAATGTTTCTAGTAAGTTTTTCCAAATGGTTTTCGATTAAATATATCAAAAAAAGGCGTGTCCCAGAAAAGTAACGCCCACTGAATAATGTATTCAACAAATTTTACACTAAGAGAGAAAACTTAGTATATAATAAGAAGGCGTTTCTGAACTAATCAAAAACAAATCTAGAATCAGCAACTATTCATAAAGGCGTTGACTTTGGGCGTAACCAATATAAAGAGAACAACATAATTTTTTTGGAAATGTAAAGAAAGGAGTTTGGGGCAAAGCTAAGAGCGAATATAACTCCTTTCAGGTTTTTTTTATACCTTATCCTTTTAAAAAAACTCTTTACACTGTTTAGTGAAATAACCACTCTAAAGAATATTTGAATCTAAAAAACTCGGAGAAACGTTTGAAAAGGCGGAAAATTGTTTTTTATCGCAAGTCTTCTTTTTTTACATCCCCCCACCCCTCTGGTAGCCAAATAGATGCGTTTCACTAAGAATAGAATTGAAAGGGTGAGTTAATCCAAAAAAGAGGATATCTCTCTGCTTTGAGCTGGAGTACCGCATTTTCGAATATCTCCCTGGGTTGCAACCTTTTTGCCGTTTCACGATTTCTCTTATCCGGACCGGCATTCCCGTGGCGTTACTACCCCGTTGTGAGGAGTGGAGGATCAGAAAAGGGAGAGAAAGAGAGAGAGAGAGAGACGGGGTGCGAGAGAATCAACTGAGATTGAAGAAGATAGGCGGATAAGAGAGGATTGAAGAGAGGAGAATGGGTAGGTGGGGGGGAAGGTAGGCAGGAAAAAAGCGCGGTAGATACGTTCATGGAAACCGGAAGGAAAAGGGGTTTGCGGCCCGGTCCGCTTGAAGCAGGAGGCGCGGGGGTTTCCCGGGGAGGATTTACTATCGCAGTAACCTAGCCAACACACCAGTGAGTCGCTAGTAAACCCGGCGGCGGCGACGGCGTTATTCCAACACACACATACACACACACACACAGAAAGAGTGAGATACATCGCCTGCGTAAATGGCGCTAGTCCGACCGCGTCGCAATGCGTCAGTTATAGTATTTTTCTGACGTTTGTGTACCAAGTGTCGCTGAGGAAATGCGCCTTTTCAACTTCAACTCGAAGAAAGGTCTCGGGAGAAAGTACAAACTACAAGCTTTCAGAATTTTCGCGATTCAAAATGAAACTGCTATATATGCTATAAAAACCGACAAGTTCCTTCAACTGAGTTTGTTATATTTAATTGAAATATTTGTAAAATAATTTTTTACTTACACGATTCTTACGTTAAAAAGAAGTATAATAAACAAAAGAATATAAAATATTGATATTCACCAGAATGGGAATTGTTAACTATATATATATATATATATATATATATATCTAGGTTGAAAATTACCTTTTGAGAGTAAGAGAGAACGTAAATGGTTGAAGCAAGGTCGACAAATTTATGTGTGTTCATGAAGCACATGCGCTACTTTATGCACCTATAATAGCATGCTCTGACATCATTATGTAGTTTACGGCTTGTTCGAAGGATTTTATCCAGTAGCCAGAAGCGTTTTCGGATTTCAAAGTCCTCCCCCGAGGTGAAATTGGGTAAACGTTGCCCTTATAGGTGTATTTTTAACTAAAGGTGATTTAGAATGCAGAACAATATCGGCTTTACAGCTGCGAAATATATATATATATATAGACGTGAAATGGGGTGCAAGTTTCTTAAATATTATTGCGGACGAAAATGCAAAATACAATTTGCGTTTCAAATTTAGATGAACAGCAAAGATAGTATAGGAAACGGGGCAAATAAAAATGGAGAAAAAAAGAGGAAAAAGCGAATTTAAATTGCGATATTTTTAGGATTATTTTTATGAAAAATTAAAAGCACCGCGCCAATTGCTTTTTTGTTGTCGAAAAATATAAATATTCCAATATCATTTAAAATAACTAATTCAAATATTTAAATAAAGTATAAAGATTGCACAAATATTCCTCAAATGAATAATCATAATAAAAAATGTGAATTTAAAATAAATGTAATATTATTAATAATGCTTTATCACTGTAATTTAAAAAAAAAAATATTAATGACTTACCAATCGCAGATTTCCTTGTAGAAGTGATAACAACGTTGCCTCTTTGAGATCAGTCCGGAGATTCATGACAATATTGTGAACAGTCTGGGACAATACTTTGATCGTTTGTCTTCATTCTCGCTAGACGATTCTAAAAAAAATTAGAAAAAAGAAAATGTTAAAAAATATATGTAGGCATGACTATACAAATAGGCTGACAAAAGTAGGAGTGGCTACTAACACTGGTGGGCGTGACTATTAATAATGTGGGCGTAACAATTGAAGTAGGCGGAAAGTAACTATAAAAATGGGCGTTATAATTAACATTCGTGGAATAAATAGACAAAAAATGGGAGTAGCTTCATAAAAAGGCGTGGTCAATATGGGCGTAACTATTTAAACAAATGGGCGGAAAGGGGGAGTTTCTACAAAAAAAAGGGCGTAAACAATAGACTTTTGACACTAGTGTCGAAGGTGGGCGTGACTATTGATAATTATAGACTATGTGGGCGCAACAATCTGCTTGCGAAGAATAAATAAGCAAAGAAAAAATGGGAGTAGCTTCTTAAAAAGGCGTGATTATCAAGAGGCGTGGTCAATATGGGCGTAACTATTAACTAGGCGTACACTTTGTAGGCGTAGAGTAAAAATGGGCGTCGCTATTTGACTATTTAAAAAATAAAGTTTATAACTTTTTTTCTAATTTTTTGCCTTTTTTTTTTAATAAACCACAAAAATAGGCTTCTTTTTATTGAACAAAATGTTTTGATTATATTAATAAGACATTATTCTTTCTATAAAAATTCACAAGTACAATTAAAAAAATTCCATTTTAACTATGAACGTGCAAATCAAATAATGCACTACACTCTAGACTAAATTACTCGTGTGTAGATGGTTTTTAAGGAATGTTTTGACATAGGTGGAAATTTTAGTGGAATCCTTTGTAAATTGAAAATTCTCATAGGAATTCTACAAAGGAAAAGCAACAATACTATACACAGATAACATTGTAGCATATATGCACATTGTACATAAATGTATGTGGAAAGTGTCCTCTCTCGTGAAGAGAACACATTGTAAAATATAAATTAAGTGGTTTTTGCTTTATTTCTCAAACTCATGAGATATATATATATATATATAACTATAAACTTTTTAAACTTTATGAAATAACATAAAATAAGAAGAAAAAAAAATTAAAGGCACAATCTCACTGACAATGAAATGCCCGCAAAGTTTTCCAACAAAAAACTTCTTATCAAGTTTTTTCAAGCATTTTATTGTTTCGAACTGATTTAATGAGAAACTTGTCTATTTTTAAATCGTTTTCATTTCCTTTTGAAACTTGGAGACTTGTGCAACAAATCTAAGTGATATTGTTAATCGATGTTTCAATGTAAAATACCATGAACGTAGGAAAAGTTACCCGCTTCTTTAATTAATCAAAGCATAAAAAGTTTATTCGAGAAAAGTATATATATATACTTCATATAACTTGAGATAATAAATATATATATATATTTATATATATATATATATATATATATATATATATATATTTATTATCTCAAGTTATATGAAGGGAGAAGAAATCGTTGAAATAAATTATTTTTTTAATCTTTCCTCAAAATAACTTAAAAAAATTATTATTAAACTAAAATTACACTGTATATAAATCTGTAAAAAAAATTTCCAATATTTTATTAAATATACAATACAAGAAATGTTTTTATTTTTATATAAAATAAAAAAGGAAACAAAGTTTCAAGTGCATAGAAGCCAATTGAAAGACACGAAAAGTACATCAGAGAAAAACATGCGTCCTTGAAAATGAGCAAGGCCACTTGGATCCAAGGCGAAACGACTTTGCAAGTCAACAGCTTCCGGAAGTGGAGTTTTAGATTTCTCTGAGATAGAAGTGGGGAGAGAGAAAATAAGAGAGAGAGAGAGAGAGGGGGGGGGGGGATCTTGTGAAATGTGAAAACTGAGTTCTCGTCAGATATCCTATTCTCGCTTGACTATATCTAAGACTACGAGAGAACCGTGTCCCCACTTTAGTGCCAGCGAGAGTTCGTATTTACAAAAGGAATCTGGAACAGACAAACGCGAATCACTTCTCTCTATGGGGCAACACACAGAAGTACTCGAAGAGCATTTGTGTAGCGCGCGCTCTCGGTTGCGAGGTGCATTAGTGGTTCTAGAAAGAGGCTGGAGGACCCTGGAGGAAAAGGAGAGAGATAGAGAGAGAGAGAGAGGTGAGGATGGGATGAAGTGCACCCTCCGGCTCGGTACGCGATGAAGCTGGATACGATGTAGATTAAAGACAATAGGCAACGTACGGTACATACCACTTTATCAGTTTTAAGTGGTGGTTCCGCTTTACTTTCCCGAAACAGAGACCGAGTGAAAAAAGAAGAGAAACAGAGAGAGAGAGAGAGAGAGAGAGAGAGAGAGAGAGCAAATTTAAGAGACGCTCGAGAGCAGAGGAAATACCTCAAAGTGGATCTTTACAATAACTTTTCATATCAACTTTTCAGTAATAATTTCATCAATTTAAATTTTCATCTCAATTTTAATAAAAAAAAATGTTTATTTTCACTTTAACTGTTTTTTGTCTTTTAAATTATTGATTTAATTGAAATTATTTTCATTGGTTAATATATAATGTATTGAGTAATAAATTTAATAAATAAATAACAAGTACATTCATTTTATTACACTTCTCTTTAATTAAAATTACTTGTTTCACCTTTGAAAGCTAATTTCAATTTTGGATAATACAAATCCGATACAGGATTTTATATATCAAGAAATTATATAAATAATAATAATAATATAGTTATAATAAAAATAACATATTATAATATATTATAATTTAACAACAATAATAATAATAGTAGCTAAAGAGTCAATTTTTGACATCCAGATTCCTACTTTGTCAGCTTAGGTGATAATTTAGGGCTTGATAAGGTAGGAAGTCGTTTTACCAACATACGATGCCGATTTCTACATTAACTACAAATGGCAATACAGGAATCTATCAACTTCAGAAGGTAATGTAGATACCTGCCTTACCGACAAATGGCAATTTAGAAATCTGCTTTACCCGCAGGTGATAATATAGTAATCTGTATTATCAACTAATGGTAGAGTAGTAATCTGCATTATCGACCATTGGTAATTAACCTTATAATCTCAATAAAAACCATTAAATATAATTTCTAATTTTTAGATAAGTATAAAATATTATTGCATTAAAATTATTGCATTTTCAACAATTTTTAATATAAGACAGTGACAACTTATTTAAAATCTTTTTGTCACTGGCACATACGTTGAATGATATACATATTCTCAAAAGTAAGCATCATTTATCTTAGTGATCTTTTGTCTCAATATATGGAATGGGGAGGGGAAAAAGCGCATCTGGAAGAAAAATTTTGCATTTGATGCAGAAAGTGTGAAACTTTTGTTAGAAAAGAAACACTCAAGAGAGAAAGGAAAAAGGGAGGGGGGGAGGGTTGCATCAACTCTGAAAAATGCGCTTCTTTCAGTAAAGGTGGAGTTCTCCGCGAGACAGATCGAGATCAGTCAGAAGAAAAATTAGGTGCAAGCGGAAAAAAAGTAACAAAGACTCCTTCGCGCGAAAACTTGTTATTTTAAATCCTTGAGCAAGAGAAACGCTAATGTAATATACATTCATGAGCGCCAAATCAACCCTTTCCATTGTCTGGTAGAATTTGCTAGGAATACAATAGTTGTGTCCCTACTCTCTTTCTCTTTGCATCCTTCTCATCTTTGACCCCTCTCTCTCACTCTCTTTCTCTCTTCCTCCCTCTACTATTCACCAGTCATGCGTTAGCACGAAAAGCCTCAGTGATTTATTTGCAGCACATAATTGGTCCATTTCTCTCGTGGCTCTTGTAAAAGTAAGGGTAGAGATTTGGTTAGCTGTGCTCGACGCTTAAGGAGAATAAAAACCAAAAAAAAAACGAAAAACGTAAACGGATGGACGCTAGAGAAAATAAGGTGTGAAAATTAGCAGCTTTACACTTAGGTAATGCTTTTTTTCTCTTTCTTTTTTTTTTTTTTTAATCCATTTGGAAACTTTTGAAGCGAGAGAAGATAAAAATGGGTAGAGTTCCCTGGATGATGAAATAGTCAGATAATTAGCGAGGATACGGTTGCACATCTTGGAAAAAAATAATAAAATAAAACAAACTCAACAGTCAGTTATTAAAGCTTCTATCTCGAAATTTGTTTTTGAAATGTGAATGTCTAATTTAGCTGAAATTAATTAATAAAAAAGGTAGATTTAAAATTGAATATGAAAAATTAGTTTTTTTTTTTTAAACAACACCTCAAAAGAAGATTAAAATCCCCAACTGTATAATTAAATGAAGAAAAGTTAAATATATTAAACATCATGAGCAAATATTGATACACGAAAAAATAATTTGAAAATTAAAAAAAAGGGGATAAACAAAATTAAAAAAGAAGAAACTTTCACTACACTTTCACTACATTTTCACTGTACTTTCATTACACTTTCATTTCCCGAAATGAAAACGAAATGAAAGTGAAGTGAATTTGAAGTGAAAGTGAAATAAAGTTATAGAATATTACCCCTGGTCGCATTAGAGAACTAATTTACAACTTCTTTGGCAAAAAAAAAGAAATATCAATTGGGAATAGTAATAAATTCGTTCTTTCGTATTCAACGTGTCCCCAGAGGTTTTCATTTTCTTTTTACTAAAAAAAAAAAAAAACGGGGTTTTTTTCTTTCTTTTTTCCAAAGTCAAGATCATTCCTTGCGTGTTCGATTGTTCGTAAGAAACGTGACCGGCTTTTTTGTGGCGTTGATCACGAGATCTTTTTTAACATTCTCTTCTCTATATATCTATATATCCATCCTCTACTTTTCTTTTTATTCTAAATGTGAACCGGAATTAGAACCAGAACTTAATAGTCGTTCCTCTTGTGGTTTCAGATTTCACAAAAGTCGATTGAGAGAGAGAGAGAGAGAAAAAAACAACCAGTCACTAAAAGAGACTTGGATTTCCGTTACTTCGTGACTGGATTAACGAAAGAAAGAACATAAACACGAACAACGACTGTGAGACCATTTTTTTATAATACCCTTGCTAC